GGGGATTTTCAGAGTTTTTTTAACCTGATTAATAAGAACTGAAACTTTAGTTTCTCCTGATAAGAGAGGCGTTAGCTTGATTGAGCTAGATTACTCTTTGCAAACCCACACAGGATGAATGAACAGTTTTATTTGGGTTCTATGCCTCCTTGTGGTTATTAAATTGATTACAACAATGCAATGCCCCAGCATGAAGGAAAATGAAGCAAGCAGCACATCTTTCAAATACCAAACAGTCAAAGTCTTAATGATCACAGTGTGGCTAGTCTTATTTTTCTTTGAGAATGTGTGTGTGTGTGTGTGTGTGTCTGTGTGTCATCATGGAAAAATATGATCCTGGTGACAGCTGCAGCAGAAGATGCCACAACGACGGCTTCAGGTACTTCTTCAAGTACTTATATGTGTGTTTGTGTGCGTGGTTATATATTTTCAACATGCATTGTCTGACCTATGAGTAACAAGGTGTTTGTGAGGGTGGCTATCTTATTGGCCACAAAATTCTTACCTCACTATGTCTGATAACAATGGAGGGTCTGGGAATGTGAGTATATTTGAGCTCCAGCTCTGGACTACACTCAGACTCCAGGATGTCAATGTCCGAGTGCTCAGAAGGGCTGCGGGACAGTGGAGGTGACTCAAAGTATGGGTCATCATCTTTATCCTGCGTGTGGCAGACAGAGTTTGGGTTGGTACCATTTATTTTTCTGGTCCTGGAGCAACGGGCAGATGTACAGCTGCCAGCCCTCTGAAGGTGTTTGTGCTGAAGTTCCTGCGGGCTGTCTGGTAGGGCTTCTGGCTGAGATATAACTGGATGTGCTGCTGGAAGTTCATGGTTATTACTGCTTTGCCTGGAGTTGTTTGCCTCCATAGACGGTGCAGGGTCAGTGTTAACATCAGCTGGATTACCAAAACAATGACCTAGAGATGAGCAAGGTAGTCCATGCATGCTGGCAGATTCAGAAATGACCAAGAGAATAAATAAAATAAATCCTGAAGGCTCTAACATCAGGCAGATATGTGGTTTCCTAACACAGCAATAAATGCGTAGTACTTTCTTGTGGATCATCCAGCACTGGAGTCGGAGCTACTGCCATTTAGGTATTCATATCATTTAAAGGCACATGAACAAGCCAAGTTGCCAAGTTGTGATGTGATGTGTGAAAAAGAATCTTCATACCCAGGAAAGACTTTTGGTTCCATCCATAACAATTATTTCATTAATGCAATAGCGGTCCATTTTTCCTGAAGCAACCAGATCAACAGCTTATCCGAGGCTCGTCTTTAGAAATCCATAATGTGTCAGCCTTCTTGGTGAATTGATCAATCTGTTAACACATTATTCTCTCATTGAAAAAAAAAAAAAAAAGGGAAAAAACCCCCAAAAGCTAAACAAACCACAAACAGTTTTTAACTATTAAGCAATTATTTCTTCTTCTCTTCTCAGCACCTTATCTGCCACCCTGACAACCAGCATGAGTACGACTGTCTCAGGGTTTTATGCGCATACGTGAGTGCCTTGGTGTCTCATTACTCGATCAGGTAGTCCCTGGCTTGCTGTGAATTTGGAGGCTGGGGTTGGTCCACCTTGTTCCAGCTGGACTCTGGTTACCATCTGACTCAGGGTCAGTTACTAATACACTTGCCCTACACGTTGCCACTATTAATTAATGAACTCATCTGATCACAGAGCAGCAGCTCAGGGTGTAAAGGTTATTGCAGCGTTACAGATGGTTGAATATGAGAGTTCAAGTTACAGGCAAACACCGTAAGTGATAGGCCTCAGATGAGAAAGAGAAAGGGGGGAAAAAGAGAGAGCTTGAGAGAGA